CCGTGCACTCATAAGAATTGATGATTTTGAACTGTGTGTTGGAGATGACTCTTGAGAGTCCCTTGAACTGCAAGGAGATCCAACCAGTCTATCCTAAAGGAGATCAGTCCTGAGTGTTCATTGGAGGGACTGATGTTGAAGCTGAAACTCCAATACTTTGGCCACCTGATGCAAATAACTGACCCACTGGAAAGGACCCTGATGCTGGGAAAGATTGAAGCAGGAGGAGAAGGGGACAACAGAGAATGAGATTGTTGGATGGCATCACCAACTCAATGGACATGAGTTTGGGTAAACTCTGGGAGTTGGCGACAGACAAGGAAGCCTGGTGTGCTGTTGTCCATGGGGTCCCAAAGAGTCAGACACGACTGAGCGACTGAACTGAATTGAACTAATTCATAATAATAACTTGTCATCCAATGAGACCACACCTCCATCACTTACCCAGCCAGGATTATTTCCAAAGTGTTCTGGAAGGAATTTCTGCTTCCCAGCTACCTTCTCTATTCCTCTTATCAGAATATTTTATGTTCTGGAATCCAAACCTTTTCATTTCAAGCTCAGATATGTCTTAAAATGTCACTGCCCCAGTGGCGCTTCTATTTTGATGTATGTTCCCATGAAGGTGTGACTGTTGCCAGATTCTTAGCAACAAAAGGTTTGGCTGGGTGAGGAAAAGCTTGTGAGGAAATAAAGGGCAGGGGAAGGGCAGATTGGAGGAGCCAGGGAACTCCAAAAATAAAAAAAATGAAATCTTGATTCCACAAGCTTGCTTTGAACTGCCCTGAATACAATATAACACTTTTTAATGTATTAGAACCAAATTGGCAATTTGCTGTGTGAAGAATTAATAGGGAAGAAAAAACCTATTTCTACTTTACTTGGATTTTATTTTTCCTAAATAACAGGACATCCAAAAATTTTTAATTTAAAATCCATTTAAAAATCCATTTAAAATTTTTTAATTTTGTAATTTTTTTATTAAAGTATAATTTACAGTTTCAAGTGTACAGCATAGTGAATCAGTATCTGTAAGAATTATGCTCCCAAACTCTTTCATTAAATTCCTTAATTAAAATCTTTCACTTCTTAAAAGTAGAATTTTTGCTAAAATAAGAAGATATAGAAAAATATTTTTTATTTGAATATTCCCTCTTTGTCTGCTCATAATCTTTATTCCCTAATGTTCTTTCTGGAGACTGTCATGATTGAGTATATTGAGTCTCTGTTCTATGTTTGAAACAAAATCATCAAAGGGCTTTTATATTTAATATTTCTTGCCAAAGTCAAATCTGAACAACTTTAATGGCCATATTATACATTCAGCTTGGTTTATTTGTTTCCCTTCTCTTCTCATAATACAACCTATGCATCATGAAGCATGGAATTATGGTAAAATTTACAACATCATTCAGGGACAAATATATTCTTTTAGCCAGAGGGTGACATTACAAGACCCAAGGGGACTGCAGGAGCCATGACTATGAGATAAACATCTTTGATTTATTGATGAACTGTATTTGTGCTTATTATTTAAAAAGAAGAAAAAAGGTAAGTGGTCGGAGATGTCCATATTTCTTAAATTATGTTCCTGTCTAACTAAGCCCATCTTTGACTCCATAAGGTCATGTGGCTGACAAAGCATTATTGCCTATACGACTCCAATTCATCCAAACAATGTAAAATTGCACAGAGGACCAGTAAAAAGCCACCATAAGATTTAGAATCTGAAGCCCAAATGCCATTTTCCTCACTGGTCCACCACAATTGCTCTGAGTAGCTCCCACTTTCCAAATCTGGGCGTAACTGCGTTTATTCCAGCAGCCCTTCTTAGCTCAGCTCACCCCCTTAAAGCTGACTAGTGACTGCCTGCAGCCGGCTCGTTTATGAAGAAAGCCTTTAGATGGATTAAAATGTCAGACACTCAGACAGTTTAAGTTGAGAGCTAGGGCTGTTTACCTAAGCATGTAGCTCTCTGCCACATAAGGGTGGCCCTCACCCACCCACTCCCTCTTCAGAGGCCAGAAGAGAGACAAAGAGGTTTGAAGGATGGTAAGCAGTTCATCTTGGCGTGTCTAAAGCAATTGTTTGAGCTGTACACAGACTGGAACAGGGACTGCGATGTGTCTGCCTTCTAGCCAGACTGCACATTAGGCAAGAACGGTCCTCTGCTTCTTGACCTACCCGCTGCCCTCAAGTGCCCCAATGTGTCAACTGGAAGGATATCCAAGAGACTCCATGGTAACAATTTTTTCACCACCCCCTCACCCACCCATCCCCGTGCATCTCTCCTTCCTTTAAGACACCGCCTCATGATTAACATACTACTGACTTGTAACAGTAAAAGAAAATGAATTCTTTTACTATTAAAAGTATTAAAAGGTAGTATTGGGACCTCTCTGGCAGTCCAGTGGTTAAGACTTTGCTTTCCAATGCAGGGAATGTGGGTTCAATCCCTGATCAGTGAGTTAAGAGTCCAGGTGCCTTGTGGTCAGAAAGCCAAAAAAACATACAACAGAAGCAATGCTGTAACAGATTCAATATAGACTTTTTAAATGACCCACATCAAAAAAATCTTTTTAAAAAAAAACTAATATTAAAAGATATTAACACATCGATCTTCCCAAAGATAAATGTGTGTGTGTGTGAGAGAGAGACAGACAGACAGACAGACAGAGACAGAGCATCCTGGTTTCCCAGGTGGCTCAGGGGTAAACAGAAGACGCAAGAGACATAGGTTCGATCCCTGGGTCAGGAAGATCCCCTGGAGGAGGAAATGGCAACCCACTACAGTCTTCTTGCCTGGAGAATCCAATGGACAGAGGAGCCTGGCGGGCTACAGTCCATGGGGTCGAAAAGAGTCGGACACAACTGAGTGATCGACACAGCACACACAGAAAACACAGCAAGGAGAACGAAGGGTCTTGGGCTCTAAAGTTAGAACTAAATAAAGTTAGCCAGCCCCTTAGCCTGCCCGAGCCTAGTTTCCTACTCAGAAAAGGAGATAACTGGACTAGTACTCCAAGGTTTGCAGGCATATTTCAGTCTAAAGGGAGGTGTGTTAAAAGCACAAAGTCCTTTCTGCAGCACTTTATGTGTGGCACTGACAACGGATTTAACACGCCTGCCTGCCTGTAAACCAGGCGCCTGGTCTCTCTTGAACTGTATACATTCTGATGGGTCAGATTTGCAAGTTGACTGTACTGTCTGCAAATGGCACATCTTTTGATCAGTCCCTCAGCAGGAGAAAGCACACACCAGTGTGTCTCAGAGTTGTGCCAACAAGAGTCCACAAAGGGATCTGAGGTTGGTCCAGCCATTAACAGGTTACAGCCCAAGTTCGTCTTTTCCACCAGAGACATTATCTCATTGGCAGGTCTCGCCAGAGGCCCAAGTTCTGTCTCATTAAGATTCTCCCAAGCACTGAGAATCTGCTTTGTCACAGACACTCATTTAGTTTATAGTTCTGCTATGTCACTAGGCAACCTTTCCGTAGGGACACAGCAAAGAAGAGGCTTCGATTAACCCATTCAAGGCAAAAAAGAAGGAAGACAATCACAGAACCACAGAATACCCAAGATAGCGACAAAAAAATTCAAATTTCTATCATAACGAGAGACTTGAGGGCATGGATTGCAAAGAGAATGCCCAAAGCATGTAAAAATGAGTGAATGAATCGCCCTTTCTCTGCTAGGCATAGGGTGAAGGAAATAGTACAAAGCACTAGAAAACAACTTGGATGAGTAGGGGGAATTATGAGGCCAGAGGCCGGACCCAAAGAGAAACTGAGAACATGTCAGAGGAATTGGAGAGGAGGGACACACATGGATCTGGATAGGAAAGGAGTCAATAGACTTTTTCTATAGATTAGCGGCTGCACCGAGAATCTGGGATAAATATTTAAATAGGTTGGGCTAGAAAATGGCATAACATAGAAGGAAAAGAGGTGGCCCTTACTTACATATAATATTTTCTATTAACTGGGCTAATTAAATTTTCAGCCTGTCAACCAATGAGAATCAAAAAGAGAAACTTAACTGCTTATTTTTAGTGCCTTTCTTTTTTAAATTAATCTTATTGGAGTATGAAAGTGAAAGTCACTCAGTCCTGTCCGACTCTTTGTGACCCCATGGACTCCACAGTCCAAGGAATTCTCCAGGCCAGAATACCGGAGAGGGTACCCTTTCCCTTCTCCAGGGGATCCTCCCAACCCAGGGATCGAACCCAGGTGTATAGTTGCTTTATAATGTTGTGTTACTGTACAGCAAAGTGAATCAGCTACACATATACACCCTCTTTTTCGGATTTCCTTCCCCCTTAGCTCACCACCTCCCTGGACTTCTCTGGTGGCTCAGACGGTAAAGCGTCTGCCTACAATATGGGTTCAATCCCTGGGTCGGGAAGATCTCCTGGAGAAGGAAATGACAACCCCACTCCAGTACTCTTGCCTGGAAAATCCCATAGATGGAGGAGCCTGGTAGGCTACCGTCCATGGGGTCGCAGAGTCGGACACGACTGAGCGACTTCCCTTCAGCTCACCACTCTTTCTTTTGGAAATACTTTCCGGTTTTCCTCTTCCCTGAACCATGCAGTTGTGCCCAGAACGCTCTGTGCCATGCCGGCCTCCCCATTTTTCTGGAAGAACTCGCCACCGCAATGGCGGCTGCCCACTCCTTGGGACAGCGCTTTGTCCGCTGCGACAGCGCCCCTGCTGGTGAGATTCAGCAGGGCGCTGAAGTGGGGACAGCAAGTGCCCAGGGCGCAGACCCGGCTCCTAGGGCGTCGCCTTCAGTTTCTGCAGAGTTGGGTTCCCCATCAATGCGCTGTTTGGTGCAAAACATGTGTGGGAAATCTTTGTTTCACACTGGCTCCCTCCTCCGCCCCGGAGTGGGACGCCTGGGCGGGTACCCAAGCCTGTCCCCTTCCCCGGCCCCCGCAAGTTGCCGCTGCAGCATCCTTTAGGGTCCAAGTTCAACACTGCTGCAACTTTTCTGGGAAATTTAAAAAAAAAAAAAGAGCTGAGAGCAGGAGGGTGCGCGGAAGAGCGAGCCAAAGGGCGCTGCAGAGGGGTACTTCATCTCTCCCGTGAGGGCTCCCACAGGGCGGCCAGCCAGCCTGCATGGCGCAGCCAGCCTGTATGGACTCTGGGGCGCGGCGTGGGTCACCCTGGAGGCTGCATCCGGAGTCCGCGGGGCCCGGGGCCAGAGAGAGAAGGGAGGTTCCTCGGTCAAAAGAGACATCCCGGTTGGCGGCAGCCCAAAACGCCAAGCGCGGGGGAGCTCGGGCTCTGGGCGGTGCCTCTCCTCTCCCGCGCGCCGCGGAGGATGCTGAGTCACCCCTTCTCTGCAGCGCGGGCGCGCCCCCTCTTCTTCCCACTCGCAGAGGGAAGGCGTCCCCGCTGTGGCCCCGGACCCCGCCCCTGCGCCGTAGATCAGCCTGGGGGCTGTGCAGGAACCCCCTAAGAATGCGCCCCACCTGATGTGTATTTGTGCACTGGCGCGTTTCTGGGGAGAAAGAATAAATCGAGCTTTCATTGCCTTATAAAGGCGTTCCTGACTCCGAAAGGACCTTGGGTCTGGCTGTCCGAGCAAGGCCACTGTTTCAGAAACGGCTTTCCCAAGCCTCCGGTCTCCCATACGAGCACCTTTACACTAAAGTCCCTGCTCTAGCTTTTACATTTTGACATCTAGAGACTCCCTGGGCTCTGTCCTTTTCCCCATCTAATTACTCCCCTCCGTGGTTGGCCAGAAGAATCTTCTCTGTCCATTTTTAGTTATTTCTGCGGTTTCCCCACAGACTATTCCTCTGCCCATTCCTAGATCTGTTTTCTCTTCAGAGGGCTCCACCCTTTCATCACACCGGTTTTGGCCCTGGGTTACTGCCCTTTCATCACACCAGTTTTGGCCCTGGGTTACTGCTGTAGGCACCAGAAGCACCCTGGGAAAAGGTGTGCTGTGATAAGTCACTCAGTCGTGTCTGACTCTTTGTGACCCTGTGGACTGTAGCCCACCAGGCTCCTCTGTCCATTGGGTTCTCCAGGCAAGAATACAGTAGCAGGTTTCCATGCCTTCCTCCAGCAGATCTTCCCAACCCAGGAATTGAACCCAGGTCTCCCGCATTTCAGGCAGATTCTTTACCAGCTGAAACACAAGAGAAGCCCAAGAATACTGGAGTGGGTAGCCTGTCCCTTCTTCAAGGGAACTTAACCACCCAAGAATCGAACCGGAGTCTACTGCATTGCAATCGTATTCTTTACCAGATGAACCACCGGGGAAGCACGGAAAATGTGTGCTGGTCTGTGCAAAATGCTGCAGTAACCAGTCCAGGCACACCACACACACACACACGTCCTTCTGGAATCTCTTAGTGGTTTGAATTTTAAGGAACTTTGTAGAGGTTTTTTTTTTCTATTTAATTTTTTAAATTTTTTATTTTATAGTGGAGTATTGTTGATTCACCATGTCGTCTTAGTTTCAGGTGTACGGCAAAGTGATTCAGTTATACATACACATGTATCTATTCTTTCTCAGATTCTCCTCCTACATAGTATTGAGCAGAGTTCCCTGTGCTATACAGTCAGTCCTTGTTTCTGCTCTTCTTGATGGCAGCTTCCCAGGGTGGAATAAGGAGGTGGGGACTGTGGGTGGGAGGAAAAAGCCAATCCTAAAAGATCTTATATTGCATATATTGAGCTTCCCAGGTGGTAAAGAATCTGCCTGCAATACAAGTGGCGCAGGATACTTGGGTTCAATCACTGGGTCAGGAAGATCCTCCCAAGGAGGGCATGGCAACCCACTCTAGTATTCTTGCCTGGAGAATCCCATGGTCAGAGGAGCGTGGCGGGCTATAGTCCATGAGGTTGCAAAGAATCAGGCATGACTGAGCAACTGAGCAGGCATTGCATATACTATAGCCCCTTGCTAATGTGCCAAGCGCCAGACCAGAGAACCAGGATGACCCCACCCTTTCTGAGCATGGTATACATAAAGACTCTCTCCTAGGGTAGCCACGGGCGATGTGGACAGTCCTCACTGTATCCTAAACTGTCCAAACCTTCCACATCAGTGTGATCTTTTTAAACCAAGGAGCAGCACCCAGAATAGAGGGCTTGAGCTGCTGGAGCAGAGGTGGGCACTGGGGGCAGGGGTGTGGAGCATGCAGCCCCCGAATTTCCAGTCTCCTGATCCCATTTCTCTACTATTTCATTTCTATTGAGTTGGTCTGGTCTTTCAGGATCTCAAGCTTTCACTCCAATTTTTGCTAGTCAATTGAACAGGGCTCCATATTAATCACTCATCCTTGAAACTGTTTGAAATAAGATCCATATTCTAGTGGTTTAAAGCTCTTCTCTCTGTTCCAGGAATCAGTTTATTTTTCTGCCTTTCTTATCAGACTGATTTTAGATTTCCCCCATGGGTTTTTGGCACAGCCCCCAGGCAGGCTGTATTATTTACTGTGTCATTGTGGAGGGCAGGGCTACTCTTTAGTTGTGTGTCTTTGACTGCCCTATCTTTGTTCTTGAGTGAATAAGCAGCTGTATTCCATAATACATGAAGGTTTTATCTGAGAGCAGCGTCACTCACCCGTATCAGCCGGGGTAGATAAAATTAACTAGAGGGTCATAGTTGTATCTTCTGGGCACTTGCTTATTGCTGTAATCATACAGGTAGTGAGCATTTGACTATCTTCTCTGTGCTCACACATTTTTAACCCTCACAACCCTGACAAAAGAGGAATGATTTTTCTGTGTTTTTTCTTTTTTGTGTGTGGTCATTATTGTTTTTTGTTGTTGTGTGTGGTTTGGTTTTATTTTTGGCTGCAACTCAGCTTGCAGGATAGTTCCCTGAGCCAGGACACCTGCCATGGAAATGCAGAGCCCTAATCACTGGACCCCCATGGAATTGCTGATTTTCCTCAATTTTTTAGAGGGTACCAAGGTCTGGATTTGAACCCAAACCTATTTCAAAGCCTTTTCCATTGGCTAGGAAGAGATTTGGGGGCATGGAGGCTAAGAGGTCAAGACTATTGGGAATTATTTCAAATTCTAGGAATTCCAGGATTATGGAATCAATTTTTTTTTTTTTTTTTTTTAGGACAGAGGCAATTGGTAATGACCACAGCATAGGGATTGGAAGTACAGGCTGAAGTCTTAACGGCCCGCATTAGACTCTATGCTGATTACCATCCACTAGAAACTACTTATGTCCCCAAACATTATTATTGTAATCTGAAGATGAGGCAGAATAATAATACACACCTCACAGGTTCACTGAGGAAATTAGGTATGTTTGCGATAGTTAGGTCAAGGGCAAACAGAAGGTGCTTAATTGATGTTAGTGCTTATTAAGATAAAAGAAGGGTGAGTGAAAAATTGGCTTCTTAAACTAACACTTCGATATTGCCTTTCTTAGCTTGTGCTCTTAGGTATAGATAGACTGATTTCAGCCTTGGGAAAATTATACCATGTCCTATCTATTTCTGCTTCCTCAATATCTGCATGCGAGTAAAATCAGTTTAAACCATTTAAATTTAAACATTCCGAGCTCCCAGTGGAGGGGGCCTCACGTTCAATCCCTGGTCAAGGAACTAGATCAGGAGCTGCAACTACTGAAGCCCATACACCTTGTGGCTCCACAAGAGAAACCAGCTCGATGAGAAGCCCGCACACTGCAGCTAGAGAGTAGCCCCCACTCTCTGCAACTGGAGGAAAGTCCACACAGGAGCGAAGATCCAGTACAGTCATAAATAAATAAATTATTTTTAAAAAGTGAAAAAAGCTTTCTCATAAAAAAAAAGAAAATCAGCTTCCACCCGCCGAGGGTCCCCCAGCACACTTCAGCTCCCCTTGGCTTGGAAGTCTCTGTCCAAAGTAGGGGATAACATATGCCGGTGGCTGCTTTCTAATGTTAAGGGAAATTGTGTGTTAGGTAAGAGGCTTAACAGGTTCCCTCTTTCCTACTCAGTGCTCTGGAGATTCGAAATTGAAGAATATAGCCGACCTGCTCTCAAGGAGCAAATGGTCCTTCAGGACAAGACACTTCTGAATGAAAAGAAAATGCACCTTCTAAGAAAGCACGAAAGAGCAGCACAGATGGTAAGTGCTGAGGTGTGTAGACGGGGGAAACCATGAAGACTTCTTGGAGGAGGTGAAATGGAGCATGGTTAGAGAATGAGTGCAGGGAAGGAAATTCAAAGCTAAGAAACCAAGAGATGGGTAGATTTCACAGGTGGACTTGGAGAGATTTGTGAACTTACCTACAAGTTTCCCTGCATTTTTCTGGAGAGAGGGACCATATAGCATAAGATTTTCAGAGGAGTCTTTAACAACCTCAAAAGTCAGAACAAGTACGGTAGGGGCTAGAGAATTATGCGCAGCTTGTCATTGATCTCACAGTGAGACACCAGCTGCCTTGATGTCTTTTTTTTTTTTAATTACCTGTAACTAATTCAGATCTAGATCATTTCAGAACTATAGGGAGGGTGCCAAGGCCAGCAGTGGGGGAGACACTGAGGACAGAAAGTTCTTTGGGCACTTCTAACACATGGGTTATTGAAGTGGCTGCCTCTTTGAGAAACAGCTGTGCTCATTAATTCTGGAATCAGAATACCTGGGGTGTCCAATAGGAAACCATGTCTCTTGATTTGGAGAATGTCAGCTATGGTAATTTTCTGGTGTGTTTACATGAATAATTCTTGACCTACATGTGGAAGTATGAAGGTTTTCATCTTTCTTCCTCCTCAGGGCCACCCCTAGAGGATTGCAGTGGTCAGTAGCCCCTAGACCTTTGAAGAAGCTTATTTAATATTCTTGCCCTCCCTTCCCCTGCCCACAGCAACCCCATCTTCCACTCCAATTCCAAATTTCTCCTATTTCTAGGAGTATTTGGGGATGCTGCACATCCTTGCCTGCTTTCAAGAATATTATCATCTAAAACCTGAAAGCTTTTTTTTCCTTTAAATTTAGATCAAAACAGAGAGAAACCATTTTGCAAATATCTTTACTAGATACTTTAGTTACTTTAAGCTGTGAGTTGATTAACTAGAATTGATTTTTGTCAGGAAAATGAGGCTGGAGGATTTTCTGGTGTTATACCCAGGCATGAGTCATGACGCCCATATTACAATGACTCATCACTTCAGAGAGAGTCATTTTGATGCTATGAGAGTTTTGCTCCACTAGGAGTTTCACAGTGACGTTCTTTTTGTTCTCACTTAGACACCAACAACAGGCAACCTGGGCTTTGCACAGATACCAAGTTTTCTTAAATAAAATCTGTTTTCACTTTCAGGGTAGGATTTTTTTTCCCTGTCTCCTCTGCCTCTTTTTGAGAGAAAGAATCTTTAGACAGGAAAAAGCTCTGAGCTACTAAAAAATTCTCCCTAACGTTGTGGAAACGTATTTCACTCTGAAACAGTATAGAGAAGAGACAGAGCCTCTTGGTTGAAGAGCAAAGCAGAGACATTGTGAATGGTGTAGGAGTTTAATCTTCCACCCTGATACCATCTCAAGACTATTGCACTCCTGGAGTTTCTTTACTGCCATCTATTGCTTAATGCCAGGACAAAAGGAATAATTTGATAACAAGCAAAGACAGCACAGTCTGTTCCTCCTGCTTTTGAGTTTCTTTCAGTTTTT